ATAAACAACTATCCTCGCCCCAGTACTGGACTTGTAGAATTACAGGACAACTTGTTCGGATTAAGATTGAAAATATCTGCCTTGTCGACTAGATCGTAAGCTGAGAGACGTGCATTTCAATGGTCAAACAATCAAACAAATCAAGGTCGACAGAGTCATTCTTTCCAAGCCTAATCCTTCACGGATTGGTATCCTATTTACACCCCCGGGGGTGAATCGGGCATGCAACGTGCAAATGAAATGATTGCTAACTCAAACACAGACATACATGCTTACCATGTTTTACGATCTTGTTTCAGCAACAGTTTGTCAATGACCAATGTGGTATAATGTCTAACACCGTACGCACATACATACACATACACACACACACACACTGCCAATCCCGTACAGAGTGTGAAAACACTGCTGGGGTGCGATTCACACCTTAGACAATCGAAAAAATCGGTTCACAATCAGGTGATTTCTAATTAGTACCGGGTATTCCAGAACAGATAAACTAGCACTGGAATGAATTGCTTATCTATGCTTAGACTGACTGTGCTCATCGTTTGCCGAAATTGTAATGACTGGAAACGTGACGTGTATCTCAATTGACCGTTTTACACACAGACAAGTCACACCAAGATCAGCTGACCGAGCAGTATTCGAAATGGAGCACAGGTGAGCCGACACGCTTGTACACACAGACACAAACACACACACACACACATGAATGTGGTCGAACCCTCAAGAGCCGAAAAGTTATGAAACCGTTCGGTGCGGTTTCGTGGGGTAGAAATTTCGTAAATCCGCACGCGAAGGTGCCCTTGAGGTACAAGCATGCTTGATTATGACTCTGTGTATGCCTGTGTTTTAGGCACCACATGAAAGCCACCGACGACGCCAACTACGAGTTCAGTTCCATACTTGTCGTCATCCCGCGCAAGTGTGCACTCGAAAACTGGTCAAACATTTGCACTTTATGCCTGCTCACACACATACACGCGCGCGCAAACATGATCGCGGGTTCTGGGTAAAACGTGGGGCCTGGCTTATCAACGAAATCAAAGCGTCAACATCGATTCAGCCTGATCACTTCGCGATCGGAGCCCGTCAACCGCCCTGAACAACCCCGCCCGCCGCACGGAGTGTTGTTCTGACAGTACCGAATGATTACTTCAGACGAAATTCCAATGAGCTGAAGTAAAAAAAGCCTTTTGTGGACGAGAGTGCTCACGTCTCGAGTGAATTTAGTTGTTGCACTTTTTTACACCCCGACGGGCATAACAGATGGGAATAACTAACGCATATTGCAACAAGCGACTTCACAGTAAAACACAAACACCACAGATACGCGACAGATGCTTAGACGGTGATCGAATATAGTCTTAGTTACCTATATTTTGCAAAGTACATGGTATATCATTGGAGCGACACGGTCACATCGATAGCGCAGATCATCCCGCATTTTGATCTGCCAAACATCCTCATTGTGCAGCGTAATACGATGAGGCGAATTTCACTAACCATTACCTAACTCATATTGCATCAAGGTAAGTGAGAATGTGTAAGGAGGATAGCGATCGGGTCTATTTTTAGGGACAGGAAAAGTAAGCGAACATCTATGGTCAACACAGAGTAGAACAGTGCATATATACTATTTCAAGCACTTGGGTCTGATAGGAAGTGACAGCAAGATCACTACTGTTGTCAGTTCGCAGCCATGACCTTCAGTGTCTCCAACCATGCGGTTTCAGAGTTTTTTGAACCACATCCCGGAAGACGAAAGACACCTACTCAACCTAATCGCTCTGTGCATTTCTGCATGCCTCGTCTCCACGTTATCTGCTGACCTCCACGTGGCTTTCTCCAGTCTGCAAACGCCACTGCGAATAAGGCTTGGTGCGGTAAGCGACTGTCAGGTATACGCAAAACGTGTCCTACCTAACGGAACCTATTCAGATGAATTCGATGCGATAGCGAGTTCGTGTATGATGCATTACCAAACACCCGACGACTTACTTCTAACTTACTAACCCACTTGCTCCATTCCACCTCGGCCAGACTACGTCAACATTGATTGTCGAAAACCACTAGATGACGGATGTTTTCTACCCGCAAATTCAAGGTCTCACAACCGTAAATTAAAGCTAATCGTACAGCGACGCAGTAGACGCGACTTCTCAACTTCCGTGAAACGTCACGTCATTACTGCAGGTGTTTTGGTCCTGCGTACGCTGCTCGAGCCTTGGAAATTGGGGCGGTTAACTCCCACCGTGGGTGAGTTTAGAGTGGTAGACTGAGTCGAAAGACGCTTTCAGATCGAGGAAGATAGAAATGATGGGTCCACGAAAGGAGGGTCTGTGTTCTAGAATTTGACGAAGAGTGAAGATGTAGTCGAAACAACCTCGAACAGGTCTAAAAACAGTCTGATTCTCACACGTGCACCTTCACGCGCGACAGACAACCCACGGAGTGTGATACCAGTGAGAAGTTTAGAAGCAAGATTGATTAGACCGATTCCTCTGTGGTTTTCACAAGAGGATCTGTCACCTTTCTTGTAAATCAGTATGATGACCGACTCACACCATTCAGTTGGAACTTGTTGGCTCTCCTATACCAAAACCAGGAGATTCGTTAAATTCAGGACTAACGCTAAACCTCCATTTTTAAAAGTCGATGGGAACAGCCCATCTGGGCCGGAAGCTTGATTTCCCGGGAAACCTCCATTTAGATGGAGGACTGATATCAGCTGGAAGTGGTTGTCCAGCTGACGTAGGCGTTGAGAGGCTCGTTGTAGATGGGGCCTTTTGAACTGAGTCTCGAAATGTTCAGCCTACCGTTCAAGATGGCGTTCCTGACTGTGAATCACTGTGCCAAGGGATTCCTTAATTAGCTAACTTATGTTTTTTTCCTTAGGACGCGTATTCATAGTTAGACGGAGATATAAACAAACGCAGGCTTCTCTATCTGCCTACGCTTCCATACCCACCACTTATTGCGCTCATTCCTCAGACTCTTGATGAGCTGACGTTTAAGGGATTTGCGCGCTGTCATCAGGAGGAATGGTTCTGCGGGCGTATCGCTAGGCAACGGAAGATAATGAGATCCATTTTTGGTGTTTTGATTGCGCGCCAGAATCTGCGGTTGTGTTCATTAATATTTCGATC